GCGCACGTGTGTTACTGAAGAAAACGTACTAACGCAAATAATGCACAATCAGGACGATATGTATAACGAAGATAAAAATGTACAGCATATCTAGGATGCAGATAAAACTTATGAAAAATGTTTGTGATCCTAACCAAAGTTATATAGCCGATGCATACAGGTTATCCTATTTAAATTGATTACCTGAAGTTGTCGTTCAAAGTAAAGTAACATAAAATAAAAAATAAAAAAAAAAAAAGAAAAAGAATATTGGTTTCCACGGAGATAAATATTTTGCAATTAATTCTCGCCACGCGTTCGACTTTCGATTGTTTTAAACAAAATGTAAAAAAAAAAAAATTAAAAAACTACCATACAGTCGAATTGTTTGACGGGTCAACGAAAAGAAAAAAAAAGAACAGAACGAAAAGAGAATAAAAATTTTATAAAAACTTGCAAAGAATTGCGAAAAAAATATTGAACGTTCCAAATTTCAGAAGGGCGCGCGTAATCGAGTACACGCATAAATCATCGATTACCGAGTTTATTTTCGAGTTTTGGGAGGTACCATTTTAAAAACAACAACATGGTACACATACACACACACACACGCGCACAGAGTTTTCGGCCGAGAGAAAAACTTTTCCCCAACGTAAAGTTTTCTTTCGTACTTTTTTTTTTCCCGATGAATACTCCCTCTTTTCTAAAGATCTGATAATAGAAGAAAAAAACGAGTGAAGCGAGGAAAACAACGGGGGAAAAAAAGAACAGAAAAGAAAAGAAAAGGAAAGAAAAAAACGAACGAAACGAAATCTACAATCTCCATAATTTACGAAGGAAGGCAAATTTATCGTTTAACTGTTCAAACGAAATTATAACTTCCGACATGGATAATAACTTTGCGTAAATTCGGCTACAACCCCCTTACCCACCTTATACTATCTCCTACCCCTTCCCAACCCCCTTGACAAGAGGTTAAAGTGCCCAACCCTCAATTAAATTATATTCCGTAACGCAATTTCTAAATAATATATAATAATAATAATCGTATCTCTTACATAGATGTTTATTATAATGATACACAATTTACCGGTAGATTTTGTTAAAGATAATGTACGAAATAAGATCAATATCATAAAAATACGACCAATTAATTAAAAAAGATTATTAATTCTATTATTTTCCAAAACAATAAATCGAAGAAAATAAATAAATAATAAAAATGTATCCTATGAAAATATGGGATAAAAAAATAAAAGAAAAACGATACTTGACACTAGATTTAGGGATGTTTCGTTCATTATTATGTAAAGACTAACAAACAAAATTTTTAATGAGTTAAATTGGCTCAGTCCGTAAATCTAGTGTTAAAAGTAAGAAAATAATGTTTATCTTTGTACGGAAAATACAAATTAATGAATAATAAAAATACGCAATAATGAAACAAAAAATAACAGAGAAAGAAAATATAATATAAAAATGAAGGCGTGCAATAAACAATAGAAAATAAACTTAGGCCGATAGGAATTCGATCGAGTGAAGAGAAAGGTTTGAAAAAATTCAAGTAGAAATAAATAAATAAAAATAAAAAAAAAAATATTAGGCAAGAGAGCGAAAGAGAGTAGGAAATAAGAATATACACCACGACGTTTCAGTGGAAGCTCAACAGGTCTTAATGGCTCGATGCGATGCGCCTAGGCTTTGCTTTCGTTTCGTTGCACTCTCTCTTTCTCTTTCTCTCTCTCTCTTTCACTGTCGCAATTAGCACCGTTAACCAACGAAACTTGGTTCACCGATAAACACCATTCCCTCGCGTAGACGAGAAAATGCCGAGCGAGATGCTCACGGAGAAACGGTATCGCCGATTCAAAAGTAAAAGTAGTACTAAAATAAGAAATAGAAGAAAATGAAAAGAGAAAAAGAACAGAAAGTAGAAAAAGAAGAAGAAGAAGAAGAAGGAGATTCCTCTTTGAAGAAGATATCTATTCGCCCGTTGGCGAACTCGCGGATTTACCACGGTTTCACGAACTCGGCAAACTTTTACCGTCAGGAAAAAGAAAAAAATAAAAAAGACGAATGGAAAAGATATCCTCGGTTTTCTACGGGAAAGGAAATAAAGAAAAAAAGAAAAATAAATCGTTTCTCCCGTTTTAGATAGAAGAACCACGTTCGTAACATCGAGAGATATTGTTAACGCGCATGAAAAATATGCGTTGAGTTTATCTGACGTGTCCAACAAGTTTTAAACTCTTACTACTTGATTGAATGTAAATTCTAATAATTCTTCCTCTGTATATATATATATATATATATATATATATATATATATATATA